TGGGCGCCGCCATCTTTTTTTGACGAAAAATCACTTCCTGTGTCATCAAAAAAAGTTTTTTTTCCCCAAAAAAAATGGCGGCGCCCAGCAACCAGCGGCCCGGTAAGGCTTGTTCCGCGGCCCGGTACCGGTCCGCGGACCGGCGGTTGGGGACCCCTGCTCTATAGGACTGTAGGGCAACATTTGGAAAAATGTTACTGAATCACCAGTTTCAAAGGGGAAAAAAATATGTAATGTCCCTCTTTAAAAAGAATGCAGACTGGTTACAATTTGAATAGAAGGAATAAATACAGCTAGTGATGGGATATGTGCTGCCCTTTCCTGTGGGATCGAAGAATCAGGTGTGTGCTTAAGGTATTGTTCTTAAAACTGCCTGTGGCTTTCTGAATAACAGTTTTTCTGTCTGCTGTGTGACAACTGGGAAACAAATTGCTTTTTGCATGCCACCTTGTGCCACTGAACAGGCTTAGTCATGTCCATTTTTTAAATGAAAATAGATTACTCTCTGATCTGGTGTCTCTATAACGTTAAGGATGGAGGCCTCTTTTCGCTCCTGCTCAACCAGAAGATGCTAATTTCTTAAGGTAGTCCGTGAAAGCTTCACAAATAGCCCAAACTTGATCCCTGCTAGAATATCACTTGTGAAATATACTCTCTAGTGACTTGACACAACGGTTTGAGATCGCTTTGCCCTTTTGTGTGAAATTGTGGTCCCTCAGTCATAAGGTAGCTTTCTGGAGCTTGGCAAAATAGTTTTCTGTCATGATTTGAAAGCGTTTGAGTCAACTTCCCAAACTGATTTTTCCCTCTACCAATTCACCAACAGGAACTCTTTTTTTCTTCCCTCTTCCCTATGTATTAATGTAATGTATTTAACAGCTCGCAAAGCTTGCAGGTGCCATTTGGGCATTTTAACCAGTGCTGCTTTGCATCTGAAATTGGGAAGTGGAAATTAAGTTGTGTTCTAATTTTCCTAAATTTGTCAAGTGAATGCTTGAAGTGCAGCTAAAATCTTTGACATATCTTGCTCTCTACTATTTGCTGCAATTGGCCTTTACTGAGGGTGCTCAATAGTTTTCCTATAATTTTAAGAAATGAATATAAAACTACTCCTTTTCTATCTGACAGCTGAATATAGGGTCCATCTATCATAGCAGACAATCCTAACCATTCAGAGGAATGACTTTTAATATCACTGAGATTTAAATGTCATTAGTTGATAGGCCTATCTGTAGTTCCTCATGCTTAAAGAGTGCTTGACCACTGTGTAGAGCAATGCGAATTTGAGATAGGGGATAACATTTTATTCACAGGCTGAAAAAGCAAAATCTTACCAGGCATACCAAAACTTTTGAGGAGACCTTAAAAGTGGCTCTCTGGACCTCAGCCACCTTTTAAAATAAATAAATAAATCACTTGTTTGTGTTAATCCCACTGTAATCAACCAAATCTGATTGGCTAAATAAACAATGATTGTTTCACAAAATACAATGCATCAAGGGGAAAACAGTTTTTAAGAATGTTGTCAAACTATAATAAGATCTAAAATCAGGTTTTGTGAAGAGAAACTGTTAAACTTTCCACTACAGTTATGCAAGAATTTGCAAGCTTCATTGGGACTTAAAGGAATGCTCATACGTGCTATATATCAAATGTCTTGGACTTCACTTGTTCTTGTTACTAGTTGTTATCCATAAGTGAGTTTTTAGTTTTGAATTAATGACAAGTAGCTACTTGTTTTTGAGTTAGGGTTAAGACATATTTTATCTCTCATAAGCTGCATATAATGATCACCAGTGAGGTTAGATCTCAATTCCCTAGGATGATACCCTCAATGTTTTTCCTGCAGTGCCTATTAAAAAAGAAGGGAAGGTGAAATGGCAGTGCCAACCTCTAGTGCCATTTTTATTTGGAGGAATACTTGAGGATGTTATGTGTGCCCAAGAGTCATTCATAGGAAATGAAAACTGATCCCTGCCACCGTTTAAAGTATTTTATGGTACTTGTGAAATATGGATATAGGAGATTTTCTAGGAAGTCTCCATTGGATTAAAGTGATCGATTTTTTTTGGTCCCTTGATCCATAACTATTCACTTGGCATTTATCTAGACAAGGCATCATCAGATGGATACCCCCATGATAGTTCCTCAGAAAGGAACAATCAAAATTATTTGTGTATACTTGGTCTTCTATAAAAACAAAAACAGATTCAGTTAAGCTGGAAATGTAGTTCTTGCTTTCAGTTCGGAATTGAAAAGGGTATGGTTGAGTTCCATGTGATGCTCATAGAAACAAGGAAGCGGTTTCAACTGTCCAGTATCTTTTGTAGACATAGACCTGGTTTTAGCAATTACATATGATTTATCTGAGCAGCTACATAGCCAAGAAAAAATTGGTTTAGCAAATGCAGGTCACCTGGTTTTGCTGGGCATAGAGTTAAAAACTCCTTGTTAGCTTGTTACGAATCCTCAGGTATCAGATATCCTCAGGTGATAGGGCCTAAGAGGGCTGCTGGCTTCGAAATCTAAAGGCAGTGAATGATCAATCCTGTATTTAGAATTGTGCCTGGTAACTATGTGTGCATCGATTACCTCCTGTAACACACAGCCTCTACCCATGTTGGCACTGCAGCTTCAAGAATTGAAACTGTCAACTTGTCTGGGAGTTTGGGACATTGTAGCATGGACATACCTGGAAAAAAGAGGTGTCAGAGCATCTTTAGCACATCTTTGTACTTAAATGTTTCTTTAGTATATGAAAGCAGAAATGAAACATCACCTTCTGGCCAGACTCTCGGAAAATAGGCCCACACAGTCATTTCTGATTATGTTTCCAGAACAGCTGCGTTAGAAGCAATTTTGCTTAACGTTTTGCTATTTCTGATGGGCTTTGATTTTACAAAGAGTAGCCCCGTCCTAGGAAGCTGGAAGGTGTAAACATACTGGTGGCTAAGTCAAGGACTAGCTCAGGACTAAAGACATTAATAAAAGCTGAACAACAGACAAACTAACAACTTTGCTACCGAGAACTTTCAGACTTTGGACTGTTTATGCAGCAGAGCAGAAGATAACAGACTGTGTTTTGCAATAAATTTCTAGAAAACAAGCATGAATAGAATCACATGCTTTTAGCAATTTGTTTGTGTCCCTGCTTTCAGCCCGGTTTCTGTAGCACAGTCTCATCTGCAGAGAATCCTCAGAACAGTCAGGTACTAAGAGAGTGAACAAAGAGTTTAAGAACCCCAGACAGGACACTTTGCCCCTCCTCCTCCTTTCTCCTCCCCCACCTCACCTCCCAAAGATGGAGAACAATAGCTTATGGCTAATTTGGGAGGGTGGCCATTGTACAGTCCCCTGATCCTAAGTTTTTGCACACTGTGGTCCTGGCATGCTTACAAGCAAAATGCCCTCCTGGTGCAGGGTGTCCCATAGCCACTCGCGGCAAGGGATTCAGCTCATTTCTATTGTTTTTAGTGAAGAATTTAACTGCAAGGAAGGGATGGAGGAGACAAAGTGGCACATAACATCTCTCCTGGCAAACCCCCATAGTGCCCTGCTAAGTATCTGCTGTGAGTTCTTTTTCTCCCAGGAGCAAATATTTGTCATAATAGTATCTGCTCTCAAATCTTGAGGAAAAGCTGGGATCCTTGTTAATTTTGATCATTGCTAACCTACCTGGGCAACAGCAGGACGATGGCTTTTTGCTGTCCCAATTCTACCTCTTCTGTCTTTCTTGTTTATGATCGCCGAATTTCAGCCTCTAAAATCAAAACTGGCATTTTGAGAGCCGCAGTGAAGGATGGTGTTAGATCACACACTTTTTCTTGAAATGAGCTGTGGTGGCGCAATGCAGTATTGCAGGCTAACTCTGCCCACTGCCAGCAATTCAATTCTGAGGTAGACTCAGCCTTCCATCTTTCCGAGGTGGGTAAAATGAGGATCCAGATTGGGGCAAGATGCTGACTCTGTAAACCGCTTAGAGGGGGCTGTAAAGCACTATGAAGCGGTATATAAGTCTGAGTGCTATTGCTAAATGGATGGATGAGGTTGGGACACACAAGATGTCCTCCTTGGCTTGTGCTTGGGTAGTCTTTGACTCATTGAAGGTGGAGAAAACAAGCTTAGCAGGTTGAGTTGGTTATATAAGGAGGCAAATTTCTGCACCTTTCCCATGCAATGACATTGCTTTCCTTTTTTTTTTTTTTTGTATTGGAAAAAGAAAGAGTTGATCTAATCCTAGTAACATATTTCAAAATTATGCTGTTTCTCGGTGAATGAAACAGGGAGAGGATCATTTCTGCAGCCCTGACCAGAATTTCTTAAAAGTATAGTAATTAGTTTATTGCTTTTGGAAATGGGGAAATGGGGTCTGAGTGTTGTGTAAAATATACATTTAATATCACAGAAATTCCTAGCTTTCCCCAGGATCAAAAAAATAAATAAATCCCAGCTTCGCTTCCCTAACGTGACAAAATCCTTCCCACCTTGCTCATTTCAAACTCTCAACCTTTGTAAAACAAAAGGGGAAAAAAGTTGCATCCGTACCTTCATCAAACAGTAAAGGAATATTTACTGGACTAAGCTTGTTACCTAGAAGGCAATAATACGCTGTCCTTAGGATTAACTTCTAGCTGCCCAGAGCCATTGATCGAGGTGGTCACAAAAAGATTGGATGGATGGATAGATGGATGGAAATTTCAAGCATAGATGTGCACGTATAAATGATTAGGCATGGTTTTAAAAAGGGACACTTACCTGAGCAGATGCCTTAGTGTTCCATTAGAGCAGGGGTGTCAAACTCACGTCACTGCAGCATCACATGACATATCGGGACTTTTCCACCCCCTTTGCTAAACCGGGCAGGGGCGTGGCCAGTGTGTGACTCATCCGGCCCGTGGGCCTGGGGTTTGACAGCCCTGGATTAGTGTCTTAGTCTGAAACTTGCATGACAAAAGTTGGGCCTTTTGGTAGGACTCACCTGTGACTTTTCTCTCTTGCAGCCTTGGGCGCCGCCTACGGCACAGCGAAGAGCGGCACAGGCATAGCTGCCATGTCAGTCATGAGGCCAGAGCTGATCATGAAGTCCATCATTCCTGTGGTCATGGCGGGTATCATAGCGATCTATGGCTTGGTAGTGGCTGTCCTGATTTCCAGCTCTGTCGCGTATAACATGTCGCTATTCAAGTAAGTTTCTCGGCGAAGCAGGGCTGCAGAGGCTCCTTGCAGGCTTAGGGATCTGACTCTCGATGGAAAGCATCCAACTGAATTCTATTCTCTGCTGTACAAGAAGGGAAATGCTGATCTTCAGAAATTGCACACCAGAAGGAACAGGGTGCAGAATCAACATTCCTCAGGCCTTTGATGTTTGCTATGAGAGGAGCAGCTCTCAGGGAAAATGAATGCTGTGCACCAATGTTTCTCAACCTTGGCAACTTTCAGTCATGTGGACTTCCAACTCCCAGAATTCCCCCATCCAGCTTTGCTTTGCTGGCTGGGGAATTCTGGGAATTGAAGTCCTCATGCCTTAAAAGTTGCCATGGTTGAAAAACACTGCAGTACCCCAAATTTATTTATTTAAAGTATTTATTATTTATATTAGCACTATTTATTTTGGAACTTGATATCCATAAAGGTTTTGGTTTTTTAATGGAACAGAAATAGGGGGAGGTTAGGATCATTATCAATGCTACAGTATTTAATAAAAGACTTCTGATTTCAGTTGTATTTCTGTAGAATAGAAGAGGAGGATAAGTTGCCCTTAAAAGATTCTGGTGCTTTCTCCAGAGTTTCCAAAAATGGTAATCAAATTGTAATGTTCCATGTAATGAAAAAGTGTATTCTAAGGGAGAAACACAGTTTTTTTTAAAAAAAAAATCAGTGTAAATTAAACTTGTAATTGTCCTGGTCTTGAAACCACTTAGAGTGGATGTTTTGCTCATTCAAAAGGCCATAGTGAGCCAACAAAAGTCTGCCTCCTCTTTGTAGTGCACTAGGCCAGGGGTCCCCAACCACCGGTCTGCGGACCGGTACCGGTCCATGGAACAAATCCTGCTGGTTTGCTGGGCGCTGCCATCTTGTTTTGATGAAAAAGTGCTTCCGGTGAGCTTTTCTGGGTAGAAAGCTCACCGGAAGCACTTTTTCATCAAAACAAGATGGCGGCGCCCAGCTGATGCCGGTACCGGGCCGCAGCATAAAAAAGGTTGGGGACCACTGCACTAGGCCATACCTGCCTTGACTAAACCCAGCATTGGAATCCTACGGCCCAGGTGATGTCTTGGTGTTAAGTGGCTCAACTGTAGGCAGGAAACCCAAGTTCTGTGATAGAAAACTAGGGACCAAACTAAAAGGCAACTTGGCATAGCTCCAGCCATCATGCCCCATAATCGGATTTTCCCAGGAGGTAATCCTACACGTGGAAGCTTGTAGATTCCCAGTGCCATATCTTCAGGTAGTCCTCAGCTTGTGACCATTCGTTTAGCCACTGTTCCAAGCCACACAAAAAAAGTGACCTCCGATTGGTCCTTGCACGTATGACGCTTGCATTCTCCCCACAGGCATGCGATCAACATTGGGTGCTTGGCAACCAGCATATATTTACAATGGTTGCAAAGTCCCGTCCCGGGCAGCTTCCAATCAGCATGGGTCAATGGGGAAAATCCAGATTCACTTAATGACTGTGGTGATTCACTTAATCATGGCAAAAGTGGTGAAATCGGGCATTTAACTGCCTTGCTTAGTGGCTGAAATTCTAGTCCCAATTGTGGTTATAAGTCAGGGACTACCAGTACAGCATTGGGTGTTGTGTTCCCAAAATGGTGCAATATGACAAACAAGGGGTCCATCCCACTAGAAAGACTCTTAAGTCACCTTTTGGGGTATCAAAACCTGCATTTATTTCCAGAGAGAACTGACTCTTGGCTCGCTCTGGCTGGTGTCTTTCCTTGCTTCTTTCATTCATGAAGCAAAATCCTTTAAAACAAAATAACTGGTATCCAATGCAATGCTTTTTAATTATTCAGAGATGCTTAATTGAAACATGTTGGTAAGCTAATCCTCCCGCTGCTATGTTAGACATGCCCAGAAGTTTCCAGGTGTGCTTAAAATGGGCTGAAACACAACCAGCTTTAAATTTTCATGAGTGGCTGTAGTTGACAAGGGGAACCCACTCATGTCTGTCCTTTCAGGAATAACTGTGTTGCTTACAGTAGCTTTCCGTCTTAGAAAAACTAAGATTAACTAGAAAGGCTGAGGGGGGAAAAAGAACATGGGTGCAAGACCGGATGGTTGGTAGCATCATTAGAGGAAAGCTAAGGATAGCTTGCCAAGAAGTTGAAGGGACAAAATGTTTTATTCTTGACAAATGAGACTTGGCCAATGGTATAAAACTTGCCAGCAATGAGATAGCAATAGCACTTAGACTTATATACCGCTTCACAGTGCTTTGCAGCCTCTCTAAGCAGTTTACAGAGTCAGCCTATTGCCCTCAACAATCTGGGTCCTTATTTTACCGACCTTGGAAGGATGAAAGGCTGAGTTAACCATGAGCCAGTGAAAATTGAACTGCTGGCAGTTGGCAGAATTAGCCTGCAATACTGCATTCTAACCACTGTGCCACCATGGCTCCATATGTCACTGTCACTGCCTCAGGAAGAGCCCAGAAGAGGTCCACCCTATATTTGTTACACATTTTTCAACCACCCACCTCCCTTAGATGCAAAACTATCATGTGGCTAAGTTCATGACTTACTTTCTTTGTAAGCCTAATGATGGCTTTTTTGACAAATCATATTTATGTACAGAGGTTCAAGGGCAGTTGCATCTCTTCTACCAGAAGCAAATCCAAAGTAGCAATGCATTGGCAACTAGTTTGCTGAGGAACTAACAAATAAATAACCATGATGTAAGTTCAGCAGAGAGTCCTAACATTTATGAGATTTATCCTGCTGTGACAATCTCCAAAATGTGATTTGCTTTGTTGTTTGCTCTTTAAGGGGTTTTGAATATTCTGTCAATAATCTTCTTGCCATGTAGTTCTTCATAATTGGGAGCGTTGCATCAGCATATGTTTTAATACCCTGCGTTTTGCTAAACACAGTTGCGTAGATGTGAGATGCTCTTAATTACTAGCATCTTTTTTTTTGTTACAGGAGGGTAAATATGAGCCCACTCTGCAGGAAAGTTTTAGGCTGGCCTTGGTGAAAGCAGCCCAGATTTTAGTAAAAGGTGTTTTGGGCTGGGTCCTTTTTTTCTTTCTTTTTTTCCAACCGAATCTTCTGTAACTCGACGCTGCTCTCCAAAGATCTTGTTGGAAAGCACCAAGGCTGGAGGAAGTTGACTTCTAGAGAGGAAGTCAGATTCTTCCTCTTCTCCTCCAGAAAACGATCAGTTTTCCCTGATTGAGGTGGGTTGTTTCCAACGTGCCATTCAGCTTGTCTTCCTTTCCCTTCCCTTCCCTTGCAGGAGCTTCCTCCAGTTGGGCGCTGGATTGAGTGTAGGCCTCAGTGGTTTGGCTGCCGGCTTTGCCATCGGCATCGTGGGTGACGCAGGTGTCCGGGGGACGGCGCAGCAGCCGAGGTTATTTGTGGGCATGATCCTGATCTTGATCTTTGCCGAAGTCTTGGGTCTGTATGGCCTCATCGTTGGCCTCATCCTTTCCACAAAAGGGTAACAGCCGCAGAGCGTGATGGAAAGCAAAACAAACTTACAAAGTTCCAGAATTTGAAGAGAAAAAAAAAAAAAACGGTCTCTCCACAATGTGTACAGTTGTCATCAGTTTGGTAGTTGATCTCTTGTAAATTTGCGCAATGTATGTGACTTGTCTGTCCTCTGTGTACTTCGATATGAAAAGCAACGAGGGCCTGCCACAAGCCTTTTCCCACGAGGCTTGGAGGGAAGCCCCTTTGCTGTTTTTCCATCCATTTTTGCCATTTAGAGTCCTTTATGTATAAATATAAACTAGAAAACGCTAATTTTCCCCCTCTCTCTCTTCATTGGATGTTTTATTTATAAGACTTGACATGTTCATACATAATGGAACAAGAGCTTTCAATTTTCCATGCTCTCTCTCTCTACACACACACACACACAATTATATATATATATATATATTAATCTCATGCATAGATTACTACACTGTGGGGTTAACTGTTAAGTGCAGAGAAATCCTTGGATGTAATTTGATTCTCAATGATTGCTGTCGTGTCCTGGTATCGGAGTGTGAGACTGTTTGTGTTTATACAGATAACAGCAACAATGTCTGAGACACTCCTGTGTTCCCAAATAGTAAAAACTGTACGCTCTGGCATCCAAAAGTTGTGCAGCCAATGTTGGATTTTGCAGTAATACGTTTCCAGGTAATAAAAAAACAATTCCTCCACTGTATCATGGTTGCACGGTGTGTCTTGTTGTGAGTTGCCTCGAGAGGCGGGGTTTCCAAACCCCGGTGCCACCCAGCACAGCCTCCCCCTCCCATACCGCCACCAAATCCCCCTCCTCCCAACATGAGCTTGGGAAATGCCTGGAGCTTGCTAACAAATGGGAGGGAGGGAAGTCGCCCAGCTTTTATGAAACCAGAAATGTCAGAGCTGGGGAAACTTGGGTTAGTTTTAGCCTTGAATGTATGGGGCAGGAACAGATGGTGTGAATTCGGCCCACTTGGTTAATTTGGGAGCTGGTGATAATTTGAACAAACCCAGCAATTGGAGTAAATACTTAACATGGATAAATAGGCCCTGAAAAGGTGAAGGCGAGCATCCAGCCTCTTTTAATTTAATACTTTTAATATGGGCTCCTTGGTCCTGAGGTTAGGGGTATTCTTACGGATATTTTATTACCCAACTAGGTAACATCATCAGTGCTAGAAGGAAAGTGGGGTTGGTTCTATGTCTATACACCTTGTCAGTGACAGTACAAGTAGGGTGAGCCAATTATATACAAAGAGTTGGCTCTCAACCCATCAAATCTAATTTGGAAAACTGTTGAAGCACAAGAAATACATGGCTCTCTTGCCAGGCACACTCTTAGTTCAGTGTTCAGAACCGCCTGGACAGTGCTTTTTTTTTTTCCTTTTGCTTACCGCAACAAAAACAATTACTGTTTTCTGCACACTTATGCAGGAATTTGTCTGTTGGATGAGATGGAAAGAAGTGGAGATCCTTGAGGAGGATTATACTTCCCAGGAAAAATTTAGCCTTTCATAAGGCTATATAAGCCAATTTGGTGTAGTGGTGAAGGTGTCAGGCTGGAAACCAGGAGACAGGTGAATTCTAGTCTCACCTTAGCCACGAAAACCAGCTGAGCGACCTTGGGCCAGTGCCTCTATTCTCTTCCCACAAACAGCCCAGCTCGCCTCCCAGGGCTGTTGTGGGAGAAACAAGAGGAGGAAATAGTGTTGGATTTATTCACTGCCCTGAGTTATTTGTAAAAAATAATAAAAACCATGCACCGAAATAAAGAACAGGAAGAGTGATGCTCAAGGCAGGAGCCATAATGCTCTGGTGGGGCCTGGCATCTCCTGTGAGAACCATGCAGTTCCCTTTTCCCCAGTAAGGCCAGCCACACAGCCCCCCCAAGGAGGAATCAGATCCCTGCATTATGTACATTCTTGGTGGTTCCTGGATTTTCAGGTCATGGACATCCCAGTGACTCATTCACGGTTTTCCTTCGGCTTTGCAAGCTTCAGGGATGGAAATAGATTGAGCACCATTCTTGACTGGCCAAAGAAACACTTTTGAATGGGGGGTGGGTGCTGCAGCTCATTATTTAATCTCTTCGTCCCATTTCTATCCTAACCATTTCACCTCAGTGATTTTGTCTTTTTTTTCATTTAAAAAAAGCAGCTTGGGGCAGAGAGATTTGCAGGGGAGGAGTGGGGGAAGCTTTGAACGGATCTTCCAATTTTCATTTTACACCAGAATGTGTCTGCTGCAGAGTGAGTCAGCCCTGCAGAGAAGGGGGAGGGGGGGAGGGAAGGAAAAAGGGGAACGAAGCAGCAGCAAGAGAGAGAAATAAAAATCATGGATGAGGCCACCTAAATGCTTGGGAAGGAAATTTAACATAATATTTTCTCTTAGATAGCAACACACCTCATCTTTACAGGGTGTTAAACCTCAGAGATATCCTTCCCAGATCCATATGGGACTCAATTCACAACATTTACCTATGCAGGTAAACAGGAGACATATTCTAACCCATGCCTCCTGCTACCAGAGAGGCGTTTTAGGCTTGGGAGGACGTGTCAACTGACAACCAGCCTCGCTTTCATACACTTCCCTGCCCTCAAGATCTAGTTGCATATTTGATGTGGTTTTTGCAGAGTTTGGTGTGTTTCCCGGCATTCATTTATCCTGGGATGCAGATTCTTGGTCTGGAATGTGAAGAGCCCCCAAGGGTAGGGGGGGAAATATACAAAAACGGAATTAACACTCCTATTAGTGGACATCCAGATCTGTTCCTTGTTGTTCAGTGATTCACCCTCGGCATCGTGACTTGGACTCAGGCCAAGAGATTGGCCTGCATGATCTGATCTGCGTGTCATCCTAGCTGGGTCGGAAGGAAGGAAGGCAAGGATGGTGTTTGCGAACGGCTGTGGGGCTAGCATAAAGCAAAGAGCAATCCTGCACTCTTTGCTTTTGGAAAATAAGAATCCTGAAACCGAGATTCATCCTTCCTACTTTTCTTCCAGCATTGCTTAGCCCAAGTATGTTTTCTCTGAAAATGGCGAGTAATGATAATAAATCTTAGCAAATCATCTGGGTCATTACCCAACCACCCTTTCAAGCAAATTAGAGACTGGTTCGGAGGATTTTTTTTTTCCTGTTTGCAAGAAATAAAAGATGGGTTGGGATGCAGTTTCATTTCCCTCCGAATTGCTCAGTGGAAGCAAAAGAAAAAAAAGGAAATTTTGCCGTGAGGCTCCAAACCCAATTAGCATGCTGCTTGGTTTGCAGCTTCTCCCTGAGTCAGTCGTGGCTCCTGTCCTTGCTTCCTTCCTCACAAGGATGTCACAAGCTTTGATTAATATGCAGGCCTGTGGTTAGGAAACCCTTTGAGGATGGGGGCAGAGCTCTTCTCAAGCAACCCAGAGCAGGTGTTTTTGCTGGTCATTCTCAAACTGACGCAGTGCTGCAGCAGGAAACTCTTGCCTGTATTATTATTCTGTATTACGCGCTTTTGATGCTTCGTAGTTGTTTTCTCATTTTAAAAAAAAACCCTTTAAAAAATCTGTCTTGAGATGGAACTGCCCGACATTAAAATGGACATGTGGTCCCGAAGAATAAATTAAGATGTTATTAAACCCACACAGGACTGTTCTCTCTATCCTTTCCCCCATCCCCAAACCAAGTCTAGTTTCATGCCACTAAATTGATTTATCCACATATCATATTCTATTTCTGCCTTATCTGTTCTACTTTTCTCCACCACGGGGAGGGAAGAAATGAAATGGATAGGTGTACTTCAAACAGCAGTTTAGGGTTCTCTGGGCTGTGCATGCACATATTAGACTCAGCCACCATGAAACAACACAAAACAATAAAATTCATGTAGTTCACATGCCACACTCTATACTGAACATTATAAATGCCCACATTTCGATTCCAGGATACTGCAATCTCACTAATGTTGCATTAGTATGAAGTGTGAACACATCTGTTAAGGCTTAGTGTTATCTGTGAATCAAGGCATTATATATGATTTATAAAACAGCATCACTTAGGGGAAAAAACCATTTTCAGGACCTATCTGGCACCTTAATTGCTAGGAATAGATTCTTAACTGACAGAAACATTTATCTTGCACATTAACAAGGTCTTCACAAGAACGACAGTAAAAGCAACACAGCCTGTTTCTACACATGCATGTTGCATAATGTATTTCATGTTACAGTGTAAGCCCTCTCCTTACAGTTTAGGAGAAGCTCAAAAAACTATTTGCTATTGCCATTTTTGTACTTTATTACCACTTCAGCCTCTGAGGATCCAATTGATTGCCCCGGGATAGAAATACTTAACATGCCTACATAAAATATTTTTATGGATTTTTAAGTCACAGCTTAAATAATGAAAGTATTATTGGGAAGGAAATACATTGTCTAAGCAAGGATATGAATAACTCGAATATATAACCTGCAGACTGATAGCTAGGTCTGGGACAAGATGCAAGAAACATTAGAATCATGTTGGCTATATACGCTACAGTTCAAAAGCCAGCCTGTATTCGGCTTTTGACATTCATTTTGTCCTTGAAGCAGTTCCTCATTGTTCTTCCACTTTTTCTTGCACCCCAAGGACTGGAGAGCATGAAGGCAAATGACCATGAGCATTTATGCCTATGGGCCCCACTCAAAAAAAAAAGAAAAAAGAATCCAATAGCATTTCTTAAGAGTGTATTTTATTAAAATATTATAACCTGGTCCCCATCCAAAGCTGAACATCAGTAAAAGAGAACAAGCTATATTCGCATCACTCATGCTCTAGGACAGGGGTGTCCAACCTTAGCAACTTTTAAGAACTGGACTTCACCTCCCAGAATTGCCTGGCCAGCACAAAACTGCCCTGTTGGGTATCTATGATTAGATAGATAGGTATAGATGGATGGATGGATAAGATGGATTGGATGGATGGATAGAAACACCCCAAAACCATGTGACTAATAAAAAGATGTATAATTTAGTTTAGTTTATTGTCATTGCACCTCATGCAATGAAATTAAATGCCATCTTCAATGTACATTTACAACTATAAAAATAAAACAAACACACATCCTTCGCATTCTATACAAAAATGATGGAAAAGTAATAAAAACAAAAAAACCCCACACAAATGATGGAAAAGCACTGACTAAAAAAAAACAAAAAACCACAGAATTCTGATAGTCCTCAAATTACAGCCATAATCGAGTTCAACATTTCCATTGCTTAAGCGAGACAGTTAAGTGAATTGTAACCCCATTTTGCGGCTTTTCTTGCCACGGTTGCTAAGCAAATCACTGCAGTTAATTACATGGTCGTTAAAAGTGAATCTGGACTCCCATTTGCTTGGCTTGTCAGGTCGCAAAAGGGGATCCCATGATCCCCGGGAGGCCGCAACCATCATAAATGTGAATCAGTGGTGAGCAGCTGAATCTCGACCACGTGACTGCAACGGTCAAAAAAGGTGATCAATGGTCCTTCGGCGCTTCTTTCTGTGCCGTTGCAACTCTAAACGGTCACTAAGCGAACGAGAACCACCTGTAACCCATAAAAAAGGTAAACACACACACAAAATATCATTAAAAACCATTGCAATCTGCCCGAGAGATTCCCCTCGAAAACCCACCGTCTTGCAGGCTCCGTGGCCCCCTCCATACCCCTACACCACGACCCCATCCCGGATGATGGGGTTTGTAGTCCACCCGCTCACGCCATTTGCACATTGCTTTCCCCGCCGCTCGCTCCGCATCGCTAAGACCTCACCAAGATGGCGGCGGGCGAAAAAACCTCCTCCTTCCCCCCCCCCCCCCCGCCTCCTTCCCTTCCCATCATGGCGGCTCCCCGCCTCCGATCACGTGACTCTCCCGAGAGGGAGAGATCGCCCCCTCCTTTCTTTCCCGTCAGCTGACGCTGACCGCGCGGTCACGTGACCGGGATCGGGCACTTGCAGGCAGCCCCCGAAGGAGAGAAGCTGGCAGCTGGCTGGGAAAAGGCTCGGCGGGAGCCGGGTAAGCCCGAGGCGGCTGCTCTTCCGCGCTTCAGGTCGTAGGGGCTGAGGGGCAGCGGCCGGTGGCTTCTCGCTTCCCCGGGAGAAGACTTCCCAGCCTTCCCCGGTGGCTTTGGGGACCGGGGGCTCCTCCCTCTGCAATGACGGACAGGCGATTTCATGTGTGTGTCCCCCCCCCCCCCCCCATAGGCAGGATCTCAGAGTGGCCGTGGGTGGATCGCTCGGGAGGAGAGGAAGAAGCGATCGAAGGCGGGCTGCCCAAAGGAAAGGCGAGCAGATCGGTTTAAAAATGGCAAAGGGCGATTGGTTGGGTTGGGTTGAGTTGAGTTGAGTTGGGTTGGATGATTGGTGGGTGGGTGGGTTGGATGGATGGATGGTTGATTGATGGGTGGGTGGGTTGGTTAGTTGGTGGGTTGGTTGGTTGGTTGGCCATCCAGTCATTTTCTATTCCTATCTTCCACTACGAAAGAGAAGCCACGATCAAAGCACCAAAGTCAGAGCTCTGGGGAGGTTTTGGGAGCGGGAGGTGATTTTTGCAAGATTTCGCCATCCTAAACTGCAGGAAAATTGCCATACCAAATTTGCTGGAAAAAGGGAGGAGGGGGGCAGCGAGAGCAGGTCCTTAACTTTGCACCCTCTAATCGGACAATGTGGGTTGAGAGGGTGAACATCAGCTTTGGGGGGAGGGTCTCTTATGAGTCACCAACAGTGCCTAGAAAGGGGACAGTAGCCCATATAT